TCCTCTGGCCGGACTGTCCCTCTCGCTGGGTCTCTCCCGCAGGACGGCATCCTTGAGGGCAGATCCAGCGCAAAACTGTGCGGGCGCAGGGATGGGACACAGAGTTGCCCCTGAGGGAGGCTGGGGGTAGCGAGACCTCCTGGGAGAGCCGGGCTGTACCAAGGAGGGGCCCTTGGAGCCAGGGCTGTGCCAGACGCCTAGGAGTTGGGGGGACCCCTTCCCAAGGAGGAGAAGTTAGAGTTAACGGCCTCAGGGAGGGGCCCTCTGGGAGGACGCTGGGTGTGAGCTAAGGCCTGGAGGCCGGAAGGACGGGCCGCGGGGGGCGGGTGTCGGGACTCAGGGCAGAGGAGGGCAGAGCCGACCTCCAGGTCCTTCCCAGGCCCCGGGGGGATGGGCGGGGCAGGGTTGAGGCCAAAGCGGCCAGTCGCCCAGTCCAGGCGGTTCACTTGGGGCCAGTGAGGCCCGGGTCAGGCCTCCTGCCCCCCTCGCCTCGCCTCACTTACCTGCACCGCAGGGCACCTCTGGGGCCTTTGCTCGGCTGCGTCCAGCCTGGCCACCCTCTGCTCTTGGGGCTGGGGGGACGGGTTCTGGGGTCTCCGAGGAAGCCCACCCTGCCTGCGGCCCGCACCCAAGCCCCGGGCCTCACCCGCACTCTCGCCTGAGCTGAGCGGCCGGGCACCCTTGCCCACCCCACGCAGGGGTGAGGGGTGGAGGGGCAAGGGGGCCGGACCTCCTCCCACCCCCCAACCCCCCGCCGGGCTCTAGGGCTGTGCTCTCTCCAGCCCCACAGCCTCTCCAAGCCTCTGCCCTGCAGGACACTCCCGCAGGGAGGCGGGGACCCCCAGCACACCCCGAGGGCTCCGCCCGGTGCCCACAAAGCCTCTTAGGTACCTCTGGGTGCCAGGCCCCAGCCCTCGGGGTCACCAGCTGAGAGCCCCAGGCCTGGGCGCGGGTCTGGGCGCCTGCGGTGGGGGAGGCCGATGCCGCCCCTCCCGACCTGCGATCCAGGGCTGCGGGGCTGGTGAACAACGCGGGGCCGCGGGGCAGCTCCAGGGGGGCCCGGGCGAGGCTCCCGAGCGGCGGCCCCGCATCCCGCATCCCCGCCCCTGCCCAGGCCGCCGGGCGCCCAGCGACCCCCAGCGACCCCCACCGACCCCCAGCAGCCGGGCCGGCCGGAGGGGCGGGGCCAGCTCAGGGGCGGGGCCGCGGAGAGACGGATGGAGGGACGGACGGACACCCGGCAGAGAGGGCGCCGGCGGCGGAGCGGGAGCCCCGGGCCTGGCTGTTCCCAGCCCCCGCGGACACGCCCCGGCCGGAGGGCTCGTGGCCCCCCAGCCCCGGGGGACGCGCACCCCCGCCTGCTGCGCCGCCGCGCCCTCCCTCTGTGCCCTGCGAGGCTCCTCTGAGCTGCCCGCCCCCGGCTGTGACTCTGTTTCCCCAGGGGCCCCGGAGGCCCGGCCGGCCCGCTCCCCGCTCCGCCCTCCCGGCCTGGGCCTGCTCCCGCCGCGGCGACCCCAGCGCGGCCCACGGATCACCACCTCCAGGTGAGACCCGCGCCGCTCCGGTCAGGGGAGGGGCCTGGGTGGGTGTGTCCCCCCACCAGCCGGCCCAGGTGTGCGTGTTGGGGGCGGTATTGAGACCAGGTGTGCCACCGCCCCGGGGTGGCTGAGGATGTGCTCGTGTGCGTGTCCCGGGGTCCACGAGCGTGGGGCCACTCGGGGCCTCTGGTGCTGCAGGAAGGGTGCAAGGGTCTGGGTGTGGCTGTGAGCAAGTGTGTGTGTGTGCGTGTGTGTGTGTGCAGGAGGCAGCGAGGTCTCAGCGCCCATCTGCACCATCACTAACTGTGCAGCCCTAACCTCGGCCACAGGCCCCGGGGCCTTCATCCTGCACCTGCCCCCCCCCACAGACGCCCTGGCCGTGGGTGGTGAACTCTCGAGGCCACTCCCATTGTACAGATGAGGAAACTGAGGCTCCCAGGGGGCCCCTGAGTCAGACCCAGGCTGGGCTGAGACCTAGTGGGCTGACTGTGAAGGCCCCACTTTGCACCCTCTGAGGTGAGGGCTAGGTCGGTGTCACAAACAGGAAAAAGTTCCCGGAAACTGAGCCTTGTGATGTGGGAGGGTGGGCAGGGGCGGCCTGGGAACCGGCAGGTGTGTCTGGGTGGGTGTCTGTGGGGGCGCCGCGCCCGGGAGCCACGGGTCTGCATCAGGCCTGGGCTGGCCGGGCCCCTGTGGTGTCACACCAAAGGGCAGCGACGGTCATTGCACAGCACTCAGGACTCAGCAAATGTGCTGGGGCCGCCGCAGGGCTGCCCCCCCACCGCCCCAGGCGTGCACACGGCCAACAGGATAAGCTGGGAGCACCCCAGGAGCAGGAGAGGCTCACCGGGCGGGGGCGGGAGCGGGTCAGGCCTGGGGAGACCAGCCAGGATGCCAGTGGGCCACTCGGTGTCCCCCTTCTCTGCATTCCAGGGAGGGGGGGATGCTGAGACTCAGCAGCAGCACCCCCAGCCTGGCAGGGGCAGTCAGGGGCCCCAGTGTGTGGGCTGCAGCGCAGGAGAGGGACGCATGGGGGGCTGGCCTGCTCCCTGGGGCGGGAGGAGGGGCGCTGGGCTGTTGGTGACCTCGGACAGAGGAGGGGCCTGGCACTTGGGAGCCCAGATCACATTCCACAGGGGCCTGGGCACCGGAGGGGCAGGACGGGGCAGGACGGAGCAGGACGGGCGGCCTCCCCAGGTGGACTGACCACCACGCAGGGTCGTCCCCCAGGATGGACCGGGAGCTGAGGCCCGCACTCTGGAACCCAGGACCCTGCCACATGCCCGGCGAAGTGCTAGCACCTCAGCCACTGGAATTTGAGGCCTCTGGGGGTTCCAGAACCAGCTCAGGGGGATTCCAGGTCCCTGGTCCTTCGGAGCCCACACCTCCCCGCGCCTGGGTCCTGGAAGCCTGGGTTTGTCCAGCAAATCCGGCCTGGGAACTTGGGGTCCATGCCTCCCGTGAGGCCCGGGAGGGAGCTGGAGCTGGACTCCCCCAAGGGCCACACGGTGCTGATTCAGGACCTCGCACGGACGAGGACAGTCCCCTGCAGGGTGAGGGCCCCGCCATCCCTCCCAGACAACTTGGGAGGGGCAGGAGGCCGTGCCCGGTGCCCCTACTGGCCTGGCCCGGGTGCCTGGGGAACCTGAGAGGCCGCTATCAGCCTGAACCTGCGGGGGGACTAGAAACCACCGGCAGTGGCCAGGGGGAGTCATGCCAGTTTCCAGCCTCCCCCCGGAGGCCAGGCCAAGGGCTCTGGGTCACAGGTTTGTTCTCAGACAAGGGAGGCCGTTGGCTGTCTCGGGGTGTGCGGCCCCCCGTGAATGGCTGGTGCACAAGCCCCCACACCCGGTTGGGGCCGCGAGACCCAGGATGCGGAGGCGCAGCCCGAGCCCCCGGGAATGTTCAGAAACGGTGCAGAGCAGCTCCCAAGGCAGAGGGTGCCCGGGCCCGAGAGGGCCCAGAGGAGGCCTCGCTGCGGGAGCAGAGGGCAAAGCCCTGCCCTGCGGGAGGCTAAGACCCTGTGGGTCTCAAGCCTCGGTGGTTTCCCACCCCACCCCCCTCACCCCCCCACCCCTGCCCGGGAGGCCCCGCCCCACCAGCGCCCCGGCCTTGGCTCAGGGCCCTGGGAGGGAAGCTCAGGGCCTGGGTGATTTATGAGGAGCGATAAGGAGCCGCCCAGAGGGGCCCGACCAACGCAGCGATGAGCAGGGGAGCTGGGGGGCGAGGGCTGGCGGCCGCAGGGGCCCCCCCACCCCAGGGCCTGCGCCACGGCAGCACCCACGGGCGCCCGCAGGCGCTGTGCTCGCCTGGCTCGTTCCCACCATCCCGGCTTACAGGAAGGGGAGCTGAAGCTCAGCAGGGCCGTGAGGGGGCTCGGGGCCAAGCCTAGGTGCAGATCTGGCTGGATCCCGCTGTAGAAAATTCTACCCCTTAAAGAAGAATCCGACAATGGGGGGGGCCCACACCCACGCCCCCGGAAACCCCAGGCCCGGGCTTACGCATAACAAGGCCTGAATTTACATCTCAGGTCAACTCAAGCCAGTGGGACAAACACAGGCTTGACCCCTGTGTCTCCCCCTCCGGCTCTGCAAAGTGGGGATCCTCCAGGCGCTGCCTGGCTCTGCCCCCCCCCACCGGCGCCTGCGTGCGTACCGCCCACGCCTGCCCACCTGAGCCCCTCACGGACCAGGGCAGGAGGCTGGGGACCCGCCAGCTGCCGCCAGGAGCCCCCGGAAGGCCCCCCGGCCTGTCCTTCTCGGGCACCGGGAGCGGTTTCCAGGATGGTCCCTCGTTTTCTTTCTCCTGGACATCCCCCCTGCCCCTGCCACCCCGTCCGGTCCAGCCGTCCACACCCGTCCACACTCGCGGCGGGGCCCAGGCGTCTCCGCCTTGTCTCGCAGCCCCGGAGGGTGACAGGTCCCTCTTGCTGCCATTTATAGCTCATCCCTGGGGAGTCTGTTGCTCCGAGTGAGCCGGGGTTTTTTGCTGTTGTTCCCAGAATGGAACTGGATTTCTGGGTTTATTTCTTATTATAAAAACGGGGGCAGACGGGGGAAGAATCCACATGACCCCAACATGTGTGAGGCAGCGGCTTCCGAAAAGCCGGAGGGGTGGCCGCGAGCTGCGAGCCGGGACCGGGCCCAGGGCCGCCTGGAGCGCGTGAGAGCCGGCGACCTCCTCACCTCGGCCGCGGCCGCGCTCGGGCCCGACCGTCCTGGATTCCGCGGCGGCCAAGGGCTCGGCGGGGGCACGGCGGATCGGGTCCTGGGGTCACGTCGGGGGGGCCGGGGCTGCGCTTCTAACCCAGACCATCAACGACAGCGGCGCTGCTAGTGGCAGTCAGAGTAACGCGGCGCGGGGAGTGCGAGGAGGCGCTGCCAGGGGCGTTAGGGCCGGGGCGTCGCAGGCCGCGGACGAGTTCGCCGGGCCGCGGCCAGCACACCCTCTCTGTGCCCCCAGGTGCGCCGCGCCCCATGGGGTGCTGACCCCGCGCCCGGCTCGGCGCCATGTGGCCCAACGGCAGCGCCGCGGGGCCGTGTTTCCGGCCGAGCAACCTGACGGCGGAGGAGCGGCGCCTCATCGCGTCGCCCTGGTTCGCGGCCTCCTTCTGCCTGGCGGGCCTGGCGTCCAACCTGCTGGCGCTGGGCGTGCTGGCGGGCGCCAGGCAGGGCGGCTCGCACGCGCGCTCCTCCTTCCTCACGCTCCTCTGCGGCCTGGTCCTCACCGACTTCATGGGGCTGCTGGTGACCGGCGCCATCGTGGTGGCCCAGCACGCCGCGCTGCTCGACTGGCGCGCCGCCGACCCCGGCTGCCGCCTGTGCCAGTTCATGGGCGTCGTCATGGTCTTCTTCGGCCTCTGCCCGCTGCTGCTGGGCGCCGCCATGGCCTCGGAGCGCCACCTGGGCATCACGCGGCCCTTCTCGCGGCCCGCGGCCTCCTCGCGCCGCCGGGCCTGGGCCACCGTGGCGCTGGTGTGGGCCGCGGCGCTGGCGCTGGGCCTGCTGCCGCTGCTGGGCGTGGGCCGCTACACCGTGCAGTACCCCGGCTCCTGGTGCTTCCTGACGCTCGGCGCCCAGCCCGGGGACGTGGCCTTCGGCCTCCTCTTCACGCTCCTCGGCAGCCTCTCGGTGGGGCTGTCCTTCCTGCTCAACACCATCAGCGTGGCCACCCTGTGCCACGTGTACCACGGGCAGGAGGCGGCCCAGCAGCGCCCGCGGGACTGCGAGGTGGAGATGATGGCCCAGCTCACGGGCATCATGGTGGTGGCCAGCATCTGCTGGATGCCGCTGCTGGTGAGTGCGCCTTCCCCGGGGCGGGGGGGCTCCATCCGCCGTGGATCTGTTGCTTTTTTGTTCAAGGTTTTATTTATTTCAGAGAGAGCGAGCCCGTGTGCGGGCACGAGCAGGGCAGGGGGCGGAGGGAGAAGCGCTGGGCAGGGAGCCCCACGTGGGGCTCGACCCTGGAACCCCGGGGATCACGACCTGAGCCGAAGGCAGAGGCTCACTTAACCCACTGAGCCCCCCAGGCGCCCCTCCACAGTGGATTTAGGTTCCCAGGTTCCCACCCACCCAGGAAAATGTGGGCACGGACCCCCGATGTTTGAGCATCCTTTCCAGAGGAGCTCATGGGAAAGACACAGACAACCCCCCAACCAGGGGGGCCAGGCCGGGATGCCGGCGGAGGGGCTCCAAGCTTCCATCTGGGTCATCAGAGGGCTCTCCAGAGGAGGGGCACTGGAGCTGGGGTTTTGAAGGATGCATAAGAGTTTATCTGCCAAACAAAACCAAGGAAAGCGTTCTACGTAGTATCACCGACTCATCAGACATTTCCTGAGGCCACTTTGTGTTGGGTTCTGGTCCGAGACCCAGCTCTGCCCGGATTTTCCCAGTCAGGGGAGCTTGGCCGATGTCCTTGGCCATTTGGGGTGGTTATTTTTCCATTTCTGACTTGATCAGAACAAGTCTAAAGTCTGAAGTCAGACAGTCGGCTTCCAACCCGTGTCCTTCAAGGACTTGCTGCGTGACTCTGGCTCTGGGCTCCCCTCCTCCAGGCCTGATTACGGGGATTCAAAAGTCGCCTGCCCTTCCGAGTGGTGGTGAGGTTGAAATGAACTCGTGTATCCATCTGCTGCTTCCACAAACGTTTCATGAGTGGCTGCTACGTCCCAGGCTGCGGTGTAGACACCGAGGACACAGCGGAGGATGAAAGCAACAGAGTCCCCTGGGAGCTCTTGCCAGCGGGGAGGGCCGGTCGTGCACGTGTGCGACGATGCGGGAGGCGGCAGATGGGAGTGAAAAGAGCTAGAGTGCAAACCAACCCGCATGGGCGCCCGGCGGGCTCAGTCGGTCGAGCCTGCAACTCCTCATCTCGGGGTTCTGAGTTCGAGCCTCCCATTGGGTGTAGAGAGGACTTAAAACCTTAAATGCATTTTTTTTAAAAGATTTTATTTATTTAGTCATGATAGTCACACAGAGAGAGACAGAGAGGCAGAGATACAGGCAGAGAGAGAAGCAGGCTCCATGCAGGGAGCCCAACGTGGGATTCGATCCCGGGTCTCCAGGATCGCGCCCCGGGCCAAAGGCAGGCGCCAAACTGCTGTGCCACCCAGGGATCCCCTTAAATGCATTTAAAAAAATATTTTATGTATTTATTTGACAGAGAAACTGCGTGCGCACAAGCAGGGGGAGCGGCAGGCAGAGGCAGAGGAAGAAGCAGGAGCCCCATGCGGGCTCGATCCCAGGACCCTGGGATCGCGACCTGAGCCAAAGGCAGATGCTCAACCAATGGGCCACCGGGGCGCCCCCTAAAAATAAAATCTTAAAAAAAGAAAGCACTGCAAATGTAAAGATCCTAATTTTTTTTTTTTTGCTTTGTGTTTTGTTTTGCTAAGAATTTTTCACATACGTAAGTAGTCGGGGAAAAAGTACAAAGGAGCATCATATTTTGATGTTTTGTGACATGTGACAATGACATGGAATTCAAATTTCCGCATCCAGAAATACCGCTAGAGCGCAGCCACGCCCCTGTGCCTCCCTGTAGCTCCGAGGCTGCGGTGGCCCAGCTGCGACAGGGACTGCGTTTAGAATATTTATTCCACGGCCCTGTAAGAAGGAAGGTTGCCACCAAAGGGGCCCCGGGAACCGTTTCACGACTCAGTGAGATTCGATCTAGGACACCTACCTGGTTTTGATCCAGCTGTGAACCTCGCACCCATGCTCCAGAGCCCCAGAGCCCGTGGTCCCGAGCAGAGCGGGGCCCGTTCTGGGGATCCCGGGAGACTGTGGCAGATCCTGGTCAGGGACTTCTCCGTGAAGGTGACATTTAAGCAAAGACGCGGTCCAGGGGAGGAAGCGGGCTGTGTGGAGATCTGGGGGCGAAGGCATTCCAGGAAGGGGGCACAGCACGTGCAAAGGCTCTGGGGCAGGACGCTGCCTGGCATGTCGGAGGAGCAGAGTGGGCGAGACGGAGAGGGAGGGCGGGGGAGGACCAGGGAGAACCCGCCTCGGTCTCCTCCCTGCCCCCCGGTCTCTCCCAGGGACACCCAGAATGGGCTCCGTGCTGCTCTGAACCATTGGAACCGGGGCTTTGAAGCATGAATAGGAGTTTCCTTGCTACACATAAGAGGGAAGCCGTCCTAGTAGGATCACTGAATCATGAGACACCCCCTGAGTCCCCTTTGTGGGCAAACTATTTCTTAAAGGGCCGTTGTGGTATTTTCTTTTTTTTTTTTAATTTTTTTTTTTTTCCGTGTGGTATTTTCAACGCGGTTTGTCACAGGCTCAGCTGTGCTGTCCCCTCCCGGGCGGGAATGCAGCCACAGGCAGCGAATGGGCCTTTCTGTGGGCCCGGAGGACACCGAGAATTTCATGTCGTTCTCACATGTCACAAACTCCTTCCTATTTTTTTTCTCCCACTATTTGCACATGTAAAAACGTCCTTAACAAAACAATAAAATGAAACCACAAAAGCCCAAGCAAACCAAACAAGAAGAGGGGAAAGGCCCGATTTGGCCCAAGGGCCAGCTCAGTGCTCTAATCCCGCCCCGGATCCCCATGGGCCCAGAGGATAAGCCCCCCACGCGGCCCTCAAGCTCATCTGGGGAACCCAGTTTGCCAACCGGCTCCCAGCCCCGGGTCAGCTCAGGCACCCACGCTGGCCTCCCACAGGCCCCACGCGTCCCTGGTCACAGTTCTGTCACCCCCGCCCCCACGCTGTGACTGCCTGGCCGCCTCCTGTTGGGGCTGCAAGCCTGTGCAGCGGGGACTGGTCCCTCGTGGCCAGCGCAGTGTCCCCAGCACTGCCCAGCAGGTGCTCAGGAAACAACATTAATAAATTTTTTTTAAGCTTTTATTTTTGGACGCCTGGGTGGCTCCGTGGTGGACCGTCTGCCTTCAGCTCAGGGCGTGACCCCGGGATCCCAGGATCGAGTCCCACATCGGGGTCCCCCAAGTGAGCCTGGTTCTCCCTCTGCCTGTGTCTCCGCCTCCCTCTGTGTGTCTCTCAGGAATACATAAATAAAAGCTTTTTAAAAATTAAACACTTAAGGTGCAATTGAATAGTATAGTTTTACATTATGAAACTTTTACAAATTTTCAGGTGTTTAGGAGGATAATAATGCTGGCGGTGCGGGGGCTCCGCGTGCTCACACCCGCCTTGTTTTCCACCGTATTTTATTGTGGAGACAGGCGGGAAGATTGCGTCGGGGCAGCTCAGAGAGGCTGGGCACCCCCCGCCCAGGTCACCCAGCAAGGCGGCGACAGAAGCGGCACTGGATCGCGGGGCGGGGTGCAGGCGGCCGCTGGTGCCCCGCTAACGGCTCTGACCCCCCGCAGGTCTTCATCGCCCAGACGGTGCTGCGCAGCCCGCCCGCCATGAGCCCGACCGGACAGCTGTCCCGGGCCACCGAGCAGCAGCTGCTCATTTACCTGCGCGTGGCCACCTGGAACCAGATCCTGGACCCCTGGGTGTACATCCTGTTCCGCCGGGCGGTGATCCGTCGCCTGCACCCTCGCCTCAGCGCGCGGCCCAGGTCGCTGTCCCTGCAGCCCCAGCTCACCCAGAGGCGCCCGGTGGCGTAGGGCCCCAGCGGGACGGCCGCACACGGGGGGCCCCCCAGCCGGCCCGGAGCCCCGGGAGCCCGGAGTGTCAGAAGGGCCAAGACTGTGCATGCCAGGATGGGGGGGCCCCCCCAGCGGCCCTGGGGACCCCCCAACTCCTCTCTGATCCCCTCCCCCTCCCCACCCAGGAAGGGTGGGCAGGCATGTTGGGGGGAGGGCGTCTGAGGAAATCGGACTTGGAAGCCTCCCCTTTCAGGAATCCCCTGAGAATGGGGGGACTCTGACCCCTGGATATGACCTGCTTCCTGGGGTACAGTTGATTCCCTTTGACTCCCCAGCCCCGAGAAGGCTCTATTTAGAAAACATTGAGTGTGCAGAGGCAAGACACCCGCTCTCTTGCCAAAATATATACTGGCTCCCCCAGCTTTACTTTCCTTTGGGTCCGGAAATCATCAATCTTTAAAGTTCGGGCGTCAGATTGCTGTTCCCCCGTGTTGGCCGCAGCCGGAGCCGCGCCGGGGCCGGGCAGGGCGGAGGGGGTGCGCTGGGTGCCCGCCGCTCTCCTCCGCGCCCTCGCCCTGGGCGGGCCTTCCATGGTCGCATCTCCTGGGAGCCTCCCCTTGGCCCCTGGGGTTCTGGGATAACCCCCGGGAGGTGAGGAAAGAGAGAAGACACGGGATCCTGGAGGGAGCACCTGCCTCCCCCTCCATACGGGGCTCGTGTCTTTACCTGCTTGTTCGCTCAACACTTCAGACCCGCGGGGCCTGGAACACACAGCTCCTGGCCCACAGCAGCTGTGAACACGGCCCGACCGGCCGGACGACGAGCCTTACACAGCATCAGGTGCGCGCAGGCACACGGGCACACGCGCGCTCAGTAAAGCGCTGGGCACAGAGCCGCGTGTGGTCACGTGAGCCCCCTGGACCCTCACACCTGCCCCTTCCCCCACCTTCCCATGAACGTCCCCCAAAAACGACGTGCCCAGCTGCAGGGGTGGGAGATGCCTTTATTCCCCGCCAGCCCTCGAGGTACATGAGGACAAAATTGTCTCCTGCCCCCCACATCTCCACCTCCGGCCCACATGCCCCCCTCTGCCATACGCCTGGCTTTCCACTCCACAGACCTGGGATCTGCTTACACCTCTCAAGAGCCAGGCCGAGTGAAACTAAAGCCCCTGTTTCCACTCTCCCCACTCCCCCCCTTCCCACCTGCTGGGTAATGAGGTCACCTGCTGCCTCCAGGGGACCCAGGCTGGGAGGGAGGGGCAGGAGACAGGATGGGGGAACCACGGAAGCCAACATTATGTTACCCTCAAGCTACAGCTCCCCTTGGTGGGGCAGGGGCTCGGACCCCCAAGGAGCAGACCTCGACTCCTTGAGTGTAGGGGAGGGGACAAGTCTCTGGGCTAGAGATTCAGGGGGCTGGGAATGCAGGACGGCTGCCCTGGGGGCAGAACTAGAGATGACAGATATGGTGGGTGGGGTGGGCTTCTGGGGTCCTAGCTTGGGCTTGGGGAAGAGCGCTGGTTTCTGGGGTGCTGAGGGGCTCTGTGGCTGTGGGGCCAGGTGGGAAGTTGGTGGGCTTCTGCCCAGGCCGGTATTGGCCTGTGTTCCATGTACCAGATCATGGGGCTGCGGCTGAGGCTGAGAGACTGTGCTCGGGGCCAGAGTCAGGGCTCTGGGTTGTGGGCCTGAGGGCTGATTTTGGATGGGGGGAGTGAGATCAGCCTGGGTTCTAGGGTCAAGGCCAGGGGTCTGTAGGTGGCGTCTATTGGTAGAGCTGAGCTGGATCTTTGAGTTGGTCTGGGTTCTAGAGCTGAATTGGGTTCCAGAAACAGGCTGGGACCTGGAAGTAAGGTAAGTTCCAGAGCTGGGCTGAGTTCTTGAACTGCTCTGGGTTTCAGAGGTGGGATGGTTCTCAGGACTGAGCTGAATCCTGGAGCTGGGCTGGGTCTCTGAGGTAGGCTGGATTTCAGAGCTGAGCTGGGTTCCAGAACTGATCAGGGTTCTAGAGCTGGGCTGGGTTTCAGAGCTGAGCCAGGTCTCAGAGGTAAACTGGGCTCTAGAGCTAAGCTGGGCTCCAGAGCTAGGTGGAATATTTATACTGCTCTGGGCCCCAGAGCTTGGTTGGGTTCCAGAAAGAGGCTGGATCCTGGAACTAACATGACTTCCAGAGCTGAATTGAATTCTTGCACTGTTCTTGGTCCCAGAGCTGGGCTGGGCCTTGGAGCTGAGCTGGGTTCCAGAACTGGTCTGGGTCCCAGAGCTGGACTGGGTTCCAGAAACAGTCTGGGTTCTAGAACTAAGGTAAGTTCCGGAGCTGGCCTGAGTTCTTGAACTGCTCTGGGTTCCAGAGTTGGGCTGAGTCTCAGGGCTGAGCTGAATCCTGGAACTGGTCTGGGTCCCGGAGCTGGACTGGGTTCCAGAAACAGTCTGGGTTCTAGAACTAAGGTAAGTTCCGGAGCTGGCCTGAGTTCTTGAACTGCTCTGGGTTCCAGAGTTGGGCTGAGTCTCAGGGCTGAGCTGAATCCTGGAACTGGTCTGGGTCCCAGAGCTGGACTGGGTTCCAGAAACAGTCTGGGTTCTAGAACTAGGGTAACTTCCGGAGCTGGCCTGAGTTCTTGAACTGCTCTGGGTTCCAGAGTTGGGCTGAGTCTCAGGGCTGAGCTGAATCCTGGAACTGGGCTGGGTTCCGGAGCTAAGTTGAGCTCCAGGGCTGGGCTGAATTCTTGCACTGGGCTGGGTCTCAGAGCTGAGCTGGGTTCCAGAACTGATCAGGGTTCTAGAGCTGGGTTGGGCTTCTGAAATAGTCTGGGTTCTGGAATTGCTCTGGGTTTCCAAGTTGGGCCAGGTCTCAGGGCCAAAGTGAATCCTGAGGCTGGGCTGGGTACTGGAGCTGGGCTGAATTCTTGAACTTATCTGGGCCCCAGAGCTCGGCTGGGCTCTAGAGATGAGCTGAGTTCCAGAGCTGGTCTGCTTCCCAAAGTCTGGCTCGACTCCAGAGCTGCCCTGGGTTGCGGCCTGGAGCTGGTATCTAGAAGTTGACAGGGTTTCCAAGATGATCTGACTTCCAGGAGTTGACTGAGTTCCTGGGCCAGTCTGGGTCCTGGAGCTGGGCCTGCCTTCAGAGTGAGGCAGATTTGTGGAGCATAAATCTGCTGCTGCATTGATCTGGGTCTCGGGGCTAGAGTGGATTCCAGAGTTTAACTGGATTCCGGAACTCAGTGAGGTCCCAACAACCGACTGTGTTTGGGAGCTGGAAGGGATTTCAGACCCAGTCTGTGCTTCAGAATTGAACTGCGTTCTGGAGCTGCGTGGCGTCCCTGAGCTGGACTGAGCTCTGGAAAGTGCCCAGGCCTTAACGTTGGTCTGGGTCCCAGAGTTAGCTGGTATTCTAGAGCGGGTCTGTGTTCTACAGTGAGAACCAGGCTCGGCATCAAGCTGAGCTCCGGAGGCCGGGCTGGCCTCAGAGGTGGATGGGGCTTCAGAGCTTGTCTGACTTCTGGAGATGGGCCCGGTTGTAGCACTAGGGTGGGGTCTAAAACCAGACTCATTCTCTGAGCTGGACTCATCGCTGGAACTGGACCAGGCCCCAGGATGGGGGTGGGTAGTTGAGTGCAGTTGGGTTTTAGAGCAGGGCTGGGGTCTGGGTCTGGACTGAGCTGTAGCATGCATCTGGGCTCGTGAGCAGCGTTGGGTTTGGGAGCCATCTTCCAATCCTGAGCTGGTGTGGCTACTGTTGCTGGGCTGTTTCTTGAGTCTGACTTGGGCTCTAGAACTAATGGGAGTTCCTGAGCTAGACCGGGTGTCTTCGTACAGCTGAGTCACGGGATTGTCTTGAGTTCCAGTGTCAGACTGAGTTGGGCGGCGGGTCTTGGTCATAGATCTGGGCTGGGTTCCAGAACTGGGATTGGTCTTAGAGCTGGGCTGTGTCTTAACACTTATCTGGGATCCAGACCTTAACTTGATTTCAGAGCTTGGTTTAGCTTCAGAGCTGTCTTGGGTTCTAGGAAAGGGCTGGGTTTTGGAGCTGGGTTGGTTCTCAGAACTGAACTGCATTCTAGCAATGACCTTAGTCTCGGGGTTGGCCTGGGGTCTAGAACAGGGCTTGGTCTCAGAACTGAGCGTGGTTCTAGAGCAAGACTTGACCTCAGAGCTGGGCTTGGTCTGAGAATTGGAAGGGGTTCTAGAGACGAACTTGGTCTCGGAGCTAGCCTGGGCCCTGGAAGGGGGCTGAGTCTCTGAGCTGGGTTGGGTCTCAGGAGTGGTTTGGGTTCTAGAGATGAACTCGGCCTCAGGGCTGGCCTGGAGTCTAGAGCAGGGCTTGGCCTCAGAGCTGGGACTGGTGTCGACACTGCTGTGGGTTCTAGAGGCAAACTCAGCCCCAGGGCTGGCCTGGGCTCTGCAGCGGGGCTGGGTCTCAGATGGGGCCCGGGCTGTGGTGCAGAGCCGGGCTTCGGGACCCGGCCGGGAGGTTTGGGGCAGGGGGCTGGGCTCCGGGCTGGGGCCGCGCTCAGCGCCGGGGCAGACTAGCCGCAGGCCTCCCTGGCCTCGCCGATGGCGGCCCACACCTCCACCACAAACTCGTCCGGGAAGGCGAACTCGCCCAAGACGGAGTCTAAACGGTGCGCAAACTCCTGGACGCTCACTGTCTTCTTGGAGGTGTCCACCATGGTGGACGCTGCAGGCCGAGCAGGAGGAAGGCGGGTGAGGGTGCTCCCCGGGCCCGGCCTCCCCGTGGGCCTCGGCGCCCTCCCCGTGGGCTGTCCTCCCCCCAGGGTCCGCCCGGCTTACCCTGGCCCCTTACCCAGCTCTGGGTCCCGAATGCCCATGTAACTCTCCAGCAGGTCGTCCACCCTCCGGGACGCCTCCTCCTCAAATTCGCTGGGCTGGGGGAGGAGCACCCCATGGGTCAGAAACTGGCTCCCTCCCGCTCCGCCACGCGGCCCCGCCCCTCCGAGGCCCCGCCCCGCAGGCCCCGCCCCCTCCGAGGCCCCGCCCTTTGGGTGTGAGCAGAGGCGGAGCTCAGGGCCCCCGCCTCGCAAGGAGGACCCGCTTGGCAGGGAGGGGAACAGGCGGGAAGAAGGAGAAGGTCTTACCCGAGGTCCCAGGGCCTCAGCCGAGTGCTCGGTGCAAGAGCCCCAGGAGACTCCCTTCCCCTTCACTCACCACTTCCTCCACGGTGGCAGCCCCCCCAGAACGAAGACGCAGGGTCTCCCTCCCACTGGTCACTTTTGCTTCCACGGGGCATTTGCTGCTCCTGCTCCTCTGGCCGATCATATCTGCAGGGGACAGAGTGGGGAGGGGCGTGCGTTCTGGGCAGACCCGCATCTGTGTAAGCCCTCGAGCCTTTCTAGAACGTTCTAAGCCTTCAAAGCCCTCCTTAGGTCCACGGGTGAATCTCCAGAGACCTCCCTTGAGAATCCTTTCTTCCCCTGAATCTCCCTCCTCTTCTTATTTTTTTACGTTTTTTAAGTAATCTCTACGCCCAGCATGGGGCTCGAATTCACAACGGTGAGATCAAGAGGCACATGCTCTGGCCCGCGCAGTGGCTCATGGGTTGAGTGTCTGCCTTCGGCTCAGGGCGTGACCCTGGGGTCCTGGGGTCCTGGGATCGAGTCCCGCATCAGGCTCCCAGCAGGGAGCCTGCTTCTCCCTCTGCCTCTGTGTGTGTGTCTCATGAATAAATAAATAAAATCTTTTTTAAAAATCTAAAAAGAAAAAAAGCATCACATGCTCCACTCACTGAGCCAGACAGGCGCCCCATCCCTTCTCTTTTTAAAACAACTCTCTCAAAATAAATAAATAAATAAATAAATAAATAAATAAATAAATAAAATAATAAAATAAATTAAAAAATAAAATAAAACAACTCTCTCTAGAAGGAATGCTTGAGACCCTCCCGTAGCCAGAGGGTCAACCTAGAGAAGACTTTGTGTAGAACTCAGTCCTCCTAACGTTGGGGCCTGGCTCTCAGGGTCCCCTGCTGTGCTACAGGGCAGATCTGGAACCCCATCCTGTCCCATTCTCCCTGGGACCACCCTCCAGATGCATCAGAGGGCGCTTCTAGAACCTCTTGCTGGAGAATGGTGCTACTCAAAGGCCAGTCCGTAAAGAAATAGGAAAGTGGGGCTGGAATGGGAAGCAACACGCTGGTTCCTTCCTTGACAAAGTCTTGCTATTAAAAAAAATAATAATTTAAAAAAAATTAAAAAAAAATTACCTGCTGGGGCGCCTGTGGGGGGACCCAGTCAGTTAAGCATCTGCCTTCAGCTCAGGTCATGATCTCGGGGTCCCAGGAGTGAGCCTCACATAGGGCTCCCTGGGCCAAAGGGAGCCTGCTTCTCCCTCTGCCCACTGCTCCCCCTCCTTGTGCTCGCTTTCTCTCTCTCTCTCTCTCTCTCTCAAATAAATAATTAAAATATTAAAAAAAAAGGCACCATTCTAGAACTCACTTGGGAAAACATTCTCAGGACCGTAGCCTGACCACACAGTACTTTAAAACCTCCTAGCCAGGTTACCAAACAGGTCCAGACACCTCCTCACCCGCCACCCCCATGCTGGACTGACCATAACAATCTAGAGACTACCGACCTCTTCCTGACACGGTGCCAGAAGGCTCTCTGTCATGCCACCAGAGACATCTAGAACCTTCCATCCCGTCCCGTCCCCCCATCGTCCACTGTGCTGGGTATCCAGAGAACCCACTTCTGGAAGGGCTCCTCGCCAGCACCCCACCTGCCCCCTGGGCCCCAGGCGCCCTCACCGAAGGCTCTCTTGGGCTGCACCAGGCGCAGGGTGAAGGGCTGGGACTTGGGCAGCTCCCGGAGCATCTTGGCCACCTCGTAGTGGCGGCAGCCGACGATGGAGTGATCGTTGATGGCCTCAATGCTGTCGCCCACGCACACAGCCTGGATCCGGTTGATAATGCTGCCCTCCTTGATCCTCTGCAGGGACCCAGAGTCACTCAGGGGGCCACCCCAGCCACCCCCGCCCCCAGCTTCCCAGAGCCCAGGTAGCGGCTCATCCCAGGGCCCTGAGCCCCCAGGAGGCCGCCCGCCCTCCGTGGGCACCTTGATGAAGGCGTAACCGGCCCCGTTGTCCGTGATGGTCAGTCCCAGGGCGTCCTCGGTCTTGGTGACCTCTACCTCCTTGGTCTCTCCGCGCACGTGCGCAAAGATGAAGTCCTCCAACCCGATCTGGCCGCCCAGGAGTTTCTGCATGTCCACTTTGTGGCTGTTTAGGGTACAGAATAAGATCTGTCCCAAGGGGAGGGGGAGCCCAGAGTTAATGACAGCGCTCATCGCCCTCTGTCTGTGCAGAACAACCAGGGTGATGGGCTCAGGAGCCTGGGAGGGAAACTGAGGCAGAAAGGGGCATGAAACTGGCCTGGTCACCCAGCCCGCGGGGATCCCAGTCCAAGGCGGGGTGTGGGGCTCTCCGAATGGGGTGGAGGGGCAAGAAGGAGTCTGAGACCCTGAGCATGGGGAGCAGGGTGATAAGGGGGCTGTGGGCAGGAAGAGAGCCCCCCCCCACCCCGTCACCCGTAGATTTTCAGTTTTGATACATTGGCGCCCTGACCCCCCAGACCGACTTTTTGGGTGGATTCTGGATCTGCTGGCGCCCCCTGGGGGCCACGAGCCGCACCGCCCTGCAGCCGGGCCCCTACCCACCCCGGCGACTTGGCACCTGGAACCCCGGCCCCCGCCGCGCCCCGGAACCGCAGAGGCGCCTCCCCGCCGGCGGGGTCCGCTCTTAGCTGGCCCAGCGCAGGGGCTCCGGGGAGGCTAGGGACCCGCTGACCCCGACGCAGGCCCTCTGCGCAGGGCGAGCCAAGAGGGTGTCTGGGGTAGGGGCCCCCAGGATGTGAGCGGCGTGTCTCTGAGACCCGCTGATGGGAGCCCGTCCACCCGGGAGGGGAGGTCCGCGCCCCCAGCCCCGCGCCCCGGGCTCCACCCCTCTCCCCGCTCAGACGGCGTGGGGGGGGGGCTCTGGCGCGGGGAGCGCGGGGGGGGGCTCGGGGGTCCTCACCTCTGTGGGCGCGATCCCGAAGGCCTCGGCGATCTTGGCGTAGAGCTCGCGGACGTTGGTGAAGCCCTCGATCTTGCCCGTGGGGCTGCCGTGCGCCAGCTGCGTGCGGAAGACCAGGCGCGGACGCGCGCGGGGCGCGGCGGGGGGCTCCGCGGGCGCGGGCGGGGGCGCGGGCGAGGGCGCGGGCGAGGGCGGGGGCGCGGACGGGCGCGGGGCCTCGGCGCCCCGGGGCTCGTGGGCCGCTGCGCTCTCCATGGCGGGAGGAGCTGGGCCACCGCGGCCACCGCCACCGCCGCCGCCGCCGGATCCGCCGCTTCCTGCAGCCTCCCCTCCCCCGGCCCAGGGCGCGACAGCCGAGCCGCTGGGTAAGGGGATCCGGGAACCCGAGCCTCCCGGGAAGGCGACACCGCGGGCGGCGGAGGGGGGTCTGGCCCAGGTGCGCGGGCCCTGCTAGGCCAGCTGCGCGCTCCCGGGGGACGCCGGGCAGGACGCGGGGCCTGAGCAGCACACGGGGCGGAAATGGGGGTCCCCAGTGAGGACCAGGGCAGTGAGCGTGCCCAGCGCGCCCCGTGTGCGAGGCGCGCCCATGTACTCCTTGGAAGGACCCTAGAAGGGGCAGGACAGGGACCAGGGATCACCTCAGCTACACCCTGTCCCTGCCCTCCGCAGCCCTCGGGGGCTCCGTTCCCCCTGAGGCCCGCCAGGCTCTGCACGACCAGCCCCGCGCCCTCCCTGCCCTCCCTTCCTCCCCATCTTCCCCTGGCACACGCTGCTCCGGCCATACCGGCCTCATTGCCTTTCCTCTAATGCCAGGTTGGGTCCTGCCCCAGGGCCTTTGCACGTGCTGTTCCTTCTGCCTGGAAGGCCATCTCCCAGTCATGCGCTCGGGTCCCTGCCTCACCTCAGCTACTTGCTCAAATGTTGTCCGCTCCTTCCACCTCTCAATCCCTTTTCCTAGGGTTTTCTCCCTGGTATTGAGCCCTACCTGATAGATATCAACTGTTCTACTTAATCGTCCTGTATCCCGGCTGTCCCCACAACCGCAGTGTCAGCCCCAGGAGGGCAGGGGCTCTGGACTCTTCTCCCCGCTGCCACATCCTGGGGCCTGGTGCCCGGAGACAGCAGGCACCCCGGCGATCTGCGGTGAGGAAAGGCATGGACTCCCAGGTCACAGGAGGGAAGGAGGCTCTGGCCCCCGGGAGGCACCTGTCGGAATCCCCTGGGACGCAACACCGAGGTGTCCAACAATGAGAATCTTGGCTTTTACAGTCAGCGGCCCTGGAATGCCACCGAGTGGCCCGAAGAGGGGCCTCCCGCCCTGGGGGAATCTCAGAAACCAAGCGTTGATGGAAAAAGGCAAGTCCCAGAAGGCTTTGGACAATGTAAGAAAATGTAATGTCAAGTTTAAAACACGCCGTGTGTTACCATGGACGAGCCTTGAAAACATGACGCTTGGCGGGGCCGAGGGGTGGGGGTGGGGGACCAGACACAGGAGGCCCCCCCCCCCCCCGCGTGTGAGCCGACGCGTGTGACACGTCCAGGCCGGGCTCGTCCCGGGACAGGCAGGGGGGCTCGTGTCCCCGAGGGGCTGATGGAGGTGGCGGGGGCGGTGGCTGAGAGGGGTACGAGGTTTCTCCTTGGGGCGACAGAAATGTTCTGGAATTCGACTGTGCCGATGATTGCACAACTTTGTAAATACGCTAGAAACCACAGACTTGTACACTTTCAAACCTTTGAAAACTGAACGAAAAAAACCAAACCCCATCAAAGCGGTACTCTTCGAGGAAGACATACTTGTGTGCTCAAAGTATATAAAGACCCGCCTGCTCTATACTCCAAATTCGGGATGGGGGTACCTGTGCCGTTGGCGGGGGCGGTGTGTGGGGCAGACAAGGGACCTCGGGTCGGGGAGGTGGTGACGTCTGGCTGTGAGTCTCTCTGGGCTGGGGGGGGGGCTTAAAACCACAGGGATTTGCTGTCTCTCGGTTCCAGGGGCCCGAAGTGTGACGTCAGCCTCAGCAAGGCCCCGCTCCCGCCGAGCCCTCGAGCCCTCGGTAGAGCCCTGCCCAGCCTGGCGCTCCTCGGCGCTCTCTGGCAGCTTGCGTTATTCCCATTTCTGCTCTCTGGTCACGTGGCTGTCCACATCTTCATCTTCTTATAAGGACACCAGTCATATTGGATCAGGGGCCCACCCTACTGCAAGATGACCTCATCCTGACTAATTATATCTGCAACGACCCTATTTCCAAATAAGGTCACATTCTGAGAGCTGGGGTTTAGGGCTTCAGCGTCTTTTGAGGGGACAAGATTCAACCCATGATACGGGCGTTTGTCAAGTTGTTCTCCAAAAATTTTGGGATGTCTTCAATAGCGCATTAAACAAAAAGTCGCAGCGAGGCTTCCTCAGTAAGTCAAGCACAGAATCCCACGCCTGGGAGGGAGCCTGCCGAATTGGAAGCAGGTGTTCAAACGCCTGGCCACGCGTGTTCACACAGCCCGACTCGCGGCACTCATCAGCGGGTGAAGGGATCAACAGAATGTGGTCCATCCACACGCTGGAATATTATTCAGCCACGAAAAAGAGCGAGGTACCGACAGGTGCCGCCCTGGGGATGGACCCTGAGCCCGTAGTGGAGGCCACACGTGTGTGAGTCCATTTCCGTGAAACATCCAGGACAGGTTCATCCAGACAGAAAGGGGGTTAGTGGCTGCCAGGCTCTAGGGGTGGGCAAGCCTGGGACACCCAGCAGGGGTGTCTTGGGAGCCCTTGGCACATCTTCTGGCCCACCCCCACCCCCCCAGAAAAAAACATTCACAAGCTTGGAATTCAAATTCCACTTTTTTTATTTAAAAAGTCCAGATTGAGCAAAGGCAGAGGCTGCCTCCACAAAGGTCCCTCGGCTGAATGAGGGAGGGGTGGTCAGTACCAGCCCCCTCAATTCTGGGGTGCAGGAATCTGAGGTCACAAGCAGAGGGCCCCGCCCCAGGTACGAGAGCATGTCCCTGCAGTGTGCCTGCCTGTGTGGGGGCACCTGTGGTGAGCACCTGCTGGGGGTCCCAGCGTGTCAGGGGTGGGCTTTCTCTACCCTGTCCCTGGCCCGGTCCTGGAGATCCGGTGCAGCAGGTGTAACCCTCCCCACACTGGGCGAGCCAGCTGCCGCAGGTGCCCTTGTGTCCCGGGTTACGCAGCCCCGTGGTGCTCCCCCGTTCCTGTAGTGTCATGTGCAAGGCGAGCAGGCCTTGCCGGGCCTCGGGGCTATGGGTTCTAGGTATATCGTGTACAGCAGGTGATTTTTCTGGGTTCAGGAAGCTGGGGAAATTGAAAGCTAGAGGGATGCTGTAGAAATTTAATTGTAGGGGGGCTGGAGCCCCCAAGGTGCAGGATTGGGCATGGCCCCAAAAGGTGGACCCCCAATCCTCCTCCATGGGGGTAGAGAAGGGGCCATGACCAAAGCTTGGTCTTCTCTGGATCCGTGGGGCTGCAGACACCCTCATAGATGCTCACTGTCACAGGAGAGAAGACGGGTGATGGGGAACCCGGGTCATTTATCGCCCTGGGTCTCGGGCAGCTGGAAGCCACCCAGACAAACCCACTGAGCAGCTGTGGGGACGTTCTAGCCTCCCAGGGGATCCCACTGGCCAAGGGGGACTAGCACACGGCACCGGCAGCAAAGTACCAGATCTGATCAGCGCCACCCAGTGGTCCGGCCACCGGCCGCGGGCGTCAAACAGGCCCCACCTGGCAGGTCCCAGGTGGCGGCGGCCTCAAGTCCGCGGGGCCCCAGGCAGCCCCCCACCGCCCGCGCAGGGCGGCCCCACCGCCCCCGGCACACACCTGGCGACCTGGGCCAGGATCTCCTTGATGCGGACGATGAGCTTCTCGTGCTGGGCGGGGTCGCGCTCGATGGCGCCGTGCAGCCGAGCCATGTAGAAGTCCAGGGTGCCGAGAGTGGGCGTCTCGCCCGTGCCTGGAGAGGGCAGGGACTGGTCACCGGAGCCCAGCGGAGGAGGGGGGCCGACGCAGCCGGGGTTCCACAGGAGCAGAGGTCAGGGGGTGGGGGTCTGCAGGGGCAGGGTCCCGGGGCCGGGGGCCAGAGGCGCGGCGCGTCGGTGGGGTCAGGTGGGAGATCAGGACGTCTAGACCCGGAAAAACCAAGGTCAGCTGTGCGGCAGGGGGCAGAGGGTGCTAAGTGGTGAGGGGCAGCCCCCGGGGGGGGGGGGGTTCCGGGGGATCCAAACCCGGGAGGAGGAAGTAGCCGGTGTCAGCTGCGGCCGCAGCGCGGAAGGCCAAGGAGGAGGGGGGCGGGGCAGGGGTCAGCGAGGGCGGGCGCGTGCTCTGCCCACGACGGGGACGGTCCTTCGGAGCTGGAGTCGCACGGCCGGGGGCGGGGGCCAGGAGGTGGAGCCGGCGGGGCGGGGCGGGCAGGGCCCTGGCGCGGAGGGGGCGGGGCGTGGGCGGGGCCCGGGCGCGGAGGGGCGGGGCGGGGCGGGGCCTCCGCACCCGGCACCGGCAGCGAGGCGAAGCTGGCGGTGAGCGCCTGGCGCACGGCCTGGAGCTGCTGCTGCAGCGCCAGCGTCCGCCGCTCCTCCAGCGCCAGCTCCTGCTCCAGGCGCTCCCGCGCGCTGCTCATGCTCTGCGTGTGCCTCTGCAGCACGGCGTTCTGCTCCTCGAAGGCCACGTTCATCTTGCGCAGGCGCCGCAGCTCTGCCTCCCGCGCTGCGGCGTGGGGGAGCGGGGTCAGAGCCTGCGCTTCCTCCCTGCCCTCCCTGCCCTGCGAGGGGCCTTTGCCTTAGCTGGGCCTCCCTGCCAGGCCGGCCGTCCTGCTCTGCCTGCAGCCCCACGCGGGGCGGGGGAGGTGGGCGCCGCAGCTTGTTGGGAGTGCTAAATGCTCCCCACCACCACCACCCCCGCCCCCTGCGGCCTTGGCACCCTTTTGACCCGCGCACCCTCCCCAAGAACCCCTGGTCAGCGCTCACCTTTGTTTTGGTCCAAGAACTCTTCAGTGAAGATGGGGACGTCGAAGGTGGAGAAGCCATCACAGTCCCCACCCTGGGACGACAGGACAAGGTGATGATGGGGGGGTGGGACAGCTACAACCCCTCTGGGACGTGTCCCTCAAGCTTGAGAGGGATTCCTCTGGCCGTCTGCATCGACGTCCTTTTAACAACATTCCCACGATGTGGCTGCCCCACGTCGGCTGGCACACTTGGAGGCCCGGCACTGCTTCCTCCCATGAGAGCTGGCTCTGGCTCACCCAGGGGTCTAAAGACCTCCAGACCTTTCTCGCCCAGGCATGGTCCTGGGAGGAGGGGTACTTACCTTGTGTCCATTCAAGAGCGTATTCATGAGCCCAGAGCCCGAGTCCTCTGGTGGGGGAGGGAGGAGGGCAGGATCAGCCTGGCAGGGGCCCACACATTGCTTTGCAATGCAAGTCCCGTCCCCCCTGCCTGGGACCCCCCCCCAAGTTAGCCCTACTTGTCCTGGGGCAGGCTCCTGTGAGGACCCCCAGTGTCTGTGTGCCCCCCCGTTGGCACTGCTCAGCCCTGTTCACCCACAGCTGTCTCGTCTTCATGGGACTGAGTCCCATGGAGGAGGGCGGGTCGGTCTGCCTGGGTCACCTGTCTCAGAGCCCGCACCCAGCTGCCTGGGGGCTGGGGCCCTTCCCACCTTTCTTGATCTTCTTTTCCTGGATCTTCTCCGTGCACATCTTGTAGGCTTCCGACTGCTGGTAGGCGCGCAGCTCCTTCATGTACTGCTGCTTCTCCCGCTCGGCCTCATCCAGGTACCGCTGGTGGGGGCAGCAGAAGGCTTGTCCCAGCCCAGGGGCAGGGGCGGCCGGCCTCCAAGGCCAACACCGCACCTTCCCACAGCTCCCTCCTTGGAGGTGAACCCGGCTCCTCGGCCTGCTGTGCAGGGCACCTTCCTCCCCCAAACTCTTGCCTTTAAAAGCCTCTCCCAGTTGTCTGAGGGCAGGCTCCCATCTCCAGGCTGGACTGGGCTCCCACACCCATTTTGCTTGGTGAAATCCCACTTAGAGGGTGCAAACTGGTGGTGTGTTTTGTTTCCTCGATATTTTTGCAACTTTAATTACCAGGATTTGAAAACCAAGAGGTATCACATAAAAATCCGGCCCCCACTCCTACTTCTTCAGTCCTATCCGTATTGGTCATCAAGCTTTCTGTGGATTCTTGCTTATTGCGACCCTCCCCTCCTTCCGCCTGCTGGGGAGGGCTCAAGGGTGGTCAGTGCTCCCCGCGGAAGCCCTTTGGGGGATGTGGCCGCAGGGCAGTGTCCGAGTGGGTGGGGCAAGGTCAGTGGTCCCCCACCTGCTTCTCCGCCGGCTGCAGCTTGCTCCACTCGGCACCCAGCATCTTGGTGATCTCGGGAAAGGGCAGATCCGGGTGGCGCGTGCGAATCTGCTCGCGCCGCTCGTTCAGGAAGCGCACGTAGCCGGTGACCGGTGCCTTGGGCCCATTTGGCAGGATCTTCTTCCGCTTCTTGCCCTTGGGCCAGCCGCGCTTCTTCACGGGCTGCAGAACAGTACCCACTCCGCGCCGTTGGGAGGGGCCTGGAGGGTTGGGGCGGGGCTAGAGGGCTGGGCGGGGCCTATCCTGGAAACCTGCAGGTATGGCTTGATCAAGGGCCAGAACTGGGAGAGGGCGGGTTTCGGGGAACGCTGGCCGCGTGGGGGACGGATCGGAGGTCCAGGGCGCGGGGGCATAAGGAGCCGGGTTGGGCCCAGCGACGGCGAGTGGGCGTGGCATCTGGCGTGGGCGTGGCTTCTCGCCGGAGGAAAGCCCCGCGGGACGACGGGAAGGTGCCTCCCACCGGACCTTTGGCGGTGGGCGGGGCCTGGGCGCCGCGGCCGCGGACCTCCGGGGGCGTGGCATGCGGCACGGGGCGGGGCCTCAGCTTCGGGAGGAAAATCAGGACTGCGGGCGGGGCCGCAGCTAATTCAAATCTAGCCCGGGGTGGAGCTTCCAGGCGAGGGGCGAGCCCCAGGGCAGCCCCCACCGCGGCGCAGGGACTCACCTCCTCCTCGTGGGACCCCTTCTCGCCGGCCCGGGGGCCCTCGCCGCGCTCCTGCTTGACGGCCACCACGAAGCCCCCGTGCGGTCCCGGAGCCTTGCCGCCCGCCGGCCTGGAGCCACGGGACGCCAGGGTCACCGCCGCCCTCACGTCCATCCCGACCGCGGAGCTGGCACAGAGGGGCCTGGGGCCCGGGAGCAGGGCTCTGCGGGGGTCACTATCCGCGGGCCGGGACGGAAGCACGGGGGTGGGGGGCGGGAGAGACCCCCGGGAGGAGCCGGGGCGGGGAGCTGGGGGCGTGCGGGAGGTCCTGCCCGGCAGTGGGGAGAGTCAAGACCCGGGGGCGAGGGGCGACGAG